GACTTATTGTTTCTTCAAACCACAACTACAGCAAAAAAGGGACTGACTTTTCAACTAGCTTCTCAATTAAAGTTGGCCCACAGGTGTGAACAGCCCAAAACAGACAAAAGGGGGAAAACTCCACTGTTAACACTCTGAACTCATGCTGAGCCACGTGCGGAGTAAGCATACATGTAAGAGATTATAGGTGATGTGAACTTCAGTCTGCTCAGGAATTTATGACAAGCTTTCCATGGAAGTTTAAGACTTTTTTCAACAATAACCTTTAAGCCCCAAATGAGAATTTCACTGAATTGCACACTTAATCCTAATTGATTTTAGGTCAGCACCTGTCTCAGCACGTTCGTCTGCTTTTTCGTAAGATTTACAACACCCATTCTTGGAAAGCGGGATAAGAGCGTCAAGAAGACACATCTTGCCTGCCTTGTGGTTTGACAAATTGGATGGGAAGAAAATACATAGCCAATCACTCAAACACTCAAAAGAGATCAGACATTCAAGGCAACTTCCTAAGAGACTGCTCAAGCTGCAACACAGATCATCTGCTTGACTTGCACAACTGATCAAGCTCACTTGCAAGATACATGTAATTCCCTCATTTTCTGACCCCCCCTAAAAAAGCCGAAAGATAATACATTTCACTCTCTTTTAAAAACACGCATGGCTTAAAAAGGCTTTTCATTAAAAGACTTCTTGGAAAATTTGAGTGACACACATCTTGCGTTTGGTTTTCAAAAAAGAAACCAGGAAATTTCTTTGGGTCCCTTGATGGAGTGAAGAGCAGCAGCTAAACCAAGTTGTTAAAAATATTAATGATGCCAACGGAATAATTGATTTCCAGAGAGATTTGTTCCCATGACAACATATTATTTTGTCTGATTTCCGAGGAAAAAAAGGGCATTCATGGCAAGTTCTGGGAAAGGCACTGGGATTACCAAAGGCTCATTTGTGTGGAGTGATTTATGAAATATAAGATTCTAAGAATTAAGGGCAATGTGTACTGAGGTGCGAATTAATCACCCAATAAGCACTATTAATATACACGCAGTATATCTTGACCGATTTGGAATTATATTGTTTAGTCACTTGGGGGAGAACAAAATGATATGGTAACTTTATATACAATACTGCAAATATTAGGCCTGTTTTTTTCAGTAAATCTTTGCAATTTATGTGTTTGGCAGGAAAACTAGTGGCTTAGCAAAAACGCATAAGTTTACCAAAGGTCTATCAATGCTTTATGAGGTGCACAATGTTGGTTTCCAGTACACTGCCTTGTTGGCTTTTCCAGACGGGAAAGCCATTGTTTCCATCCAAATTGTTATTAATATCTTTTTTTAATTTTCATTATTTATCCCCTAATCCCATAGACTTTGTACATGCTTTTTGTTTAACAGTGGCACTTCAGCCAGTGTTCAATCTTCATTCTCAATCAAACCTAAACCAAGTTAAGGCGTTAACGTGACAAGCCATTATTGGTTAATTCTTTGAAGGTCAATATTTCCCGATGTATATGCACACGTCCAATTAAGTTGTACATGTAACTTTGTATGCATCCTAGCTTCTGTGTGTTATGAGTGAAAAGTGCGATGAAATCATTATGATGTCCTCTCATTTCGTTCTCCACTTTTGTTGGGCGGACAAAAGCACACAAATTTACCTACCCAAATTTTCTGGTTGGAAAGAGCCCAGGAAATTTAGCTCTGCATTTAGACATCACCGGTCTGCAATGACCACAACCATCCACACAGCTGCAATACCTCAGAGCTCTGACGGACAAACGCACGTGATGAACGGGTCACGGCCATCACTGACATCACCACCAGGGCACTAACTCTGGCATTACCTCATATCACTCTCTATTTTCTCTGAAACAGATTGAGCTCCAGAGCATACGCACAAAAAAATATCTTGACGGGGAAAAACAAATGAATCATGCGCTGAGAGGTGGAAAAAGTCCATGACATCAAGAAGGTCAGACGGAGTATGGACTCTTTGTCAGGACACAGTTCCCCAGTGCCAAGTGCCGTACATTTCCAGACCGTCCTGCAAACCACATGAATCAAGTCACAAGAATTTCAGTGAATGACTGCAAGACAACCACTTCAATTCCTGAAACCCTCTCTGACCAAAAAAGTTCATTCATGGTGAAAAAAAGTGCATTGCCAGGGAAAAAAAAAACCTCGGCCCATTCAAGTACAGAGTGGCCTTTTCCAGCTGTCAGGGACTTTAGCTGAACAGACCGACATTAATCAATGCTACTAGCAGATTCCTTTTACATCAGAAATGTGTCTAACATTTCCCATCAGTCCACTCAACATTCCTGACAATTTTTTACAATTCCAAAAAGCCCCAACAAGCACACATTCTCCCACATTTTACAGAAGAAGATGGTGAAAAACCAAAATTAGACAGAAAAATCTGTCATGACTTCTGCAAATAAAGTTAAGTGTCTCTGGCTACAAACACCAGTGCTGCAATATTCTCACTGGTACATTGCACTTTTTGCACTTGTCCAGGTAGATTTATGCACTCAGACAAAACAGTTACTGTACTATGCACCCAAAGAACTCATGCTCACTCTTGATTTGTATTTTTTTTCCACCCTTGTACACAGAAAAATGTAGTTCAATGCGACATTGCTAAGCCTTTTGGTCATTTGAAAATATATTCAATGAACACCGTTTGACAAAGTGTTCCGACACAAGTCAAACATTTCCCATCATGCCCCGCAGACAGAGCAGGAATTGTTTTGCCGATGACGGCTTTTCGTACGGTGATCTGCATCCCCCGCAGAAAGAGAACCTCTCTTGTTAAACGAGCCTGTCCTGCGCCACCTTACAACCACACCAAGTAATTATCGAAGAAAAGGTCGCCATCACATTTAAACCGGTTCCTGCCACGTCTATCACTGGGGACCTGTCCTCCAGCGTCATTCTCACACCAGACGGCACAACCGTGGTGTGAGAACCAATCACACCAATACAACAAGGAATCCATCACATCCAGTATTCAAGATACATGCACACTTTGAATAGGCTGCACTGTGAAATCCTTGTCAATGCTGCCTGCCTATACCTCAAAAGGTGAAGGCAAAGACGGCTTGAGGGATGTATCTGATCAGGCACAGTTGACAATGAGGTTTATTGCCAAGTTTATGTATTTAGTATTAAATAAAAAGCTGCCAAATTGGATGATTGAATTAGGAGTTCCATAAGGGCAGAAGACAATTCCTGAGATTTTTGGATGTGCCAATGACCCACTACCAAAGCAACTCCTAGCACTGGTACATGTAGCATACTGCATGACATCAAATGAATGTTTTCTGTTGGAATTCGTGAAACAATGACCTTCAGAAGACAAAAGAAAGGCATGCTTTTCATAATAATAATAATAATACAGAACACTTAGAATGTGCCGGTATCCGCCAAAAACTGACGCTCACGGCACAATACAAAGAACAAAATGATAATTCAGGAAAATATTAATCAACAATATACATACTGAAAGTAGTGGGTCTTGAGAGCCGCTTTAAAATCGGTACCGGCTGAAAGGGCACGAATGTCAATGGGGAGCTTATTCCAAATGAAAGCCTACCGTGCATAATATAAGATGAAAACATGAAAAACACAATTGAAAACTGCAGTGTTTCAGAATCTTGTGTAAAGTTTTCAAATGTGCAACATCACTTCCCAGGGGGACAGTTTTCACTGCTGATTATCTTTGATTCCAAATTTTCTCAGCGGAGTGATCTTGTGGGAAAATTTGCAACTTTAAAACTCCATCTTTGAATTAACTGAAACCATATTTTCATTCTAGAAATACAATTACTGCAAGGAAATTTCAACTTCCATTTCAAATTCATTACTTTCAATTAATTAATTGGCTGCAAATTGAATTTCTTTTTTTTCTCTTATCTACCTTACCTATATTTCAAGGGTTGTTTTATTTCTCATACATGTACATTTCCTTGTGATTCAATAGAATTAAGCATGAAGTTATTTTAATTCAATAACAGAGATTAGGAAATGGTATCTCCATTAAACAATGAAAGAGTACAGAACCCTGTGTGGCACGTCACAAAAATCTCTCTCCCACAACATGGAAACATTCTAGGCCAGCCAAATTGTCACTTTCTGGTTCTTTCAACAATAAACGAAAAGGACAAAACAACCAGTGCCCAACCTTATGCCATCCCCGCGCAACCAGCAATTCCAGTCTAAATGAGTCAATACTGCGAGCCATAAATCGACACCACTAACGACAACGCTCATCAGCTAACCACTGCTATGAGTGCATTCAAAACAACAGATGTGTTCATGATCACCATGGTAAAGCTGTGAAGCATGAGGGCGCTGTTACAATTAGCAGGCAAAACGTGCTGAGCAGCAAGTGTCGGACACAAGAGGGCGATCTTTGGAAAAACTAAAATGATAGTGTAGTCTTGGTTAAAACTGACCTCTTTTTGATGAGAGAGTATACACAGGGATATGAGTGGCCACTTAAAATTAAAGCTGAAAACAGCTAGCAAAAAGCTGAAATGTAAGGTTCCCATACTTTTGTACAGACAAGGTGTTCAAAAAAGCTGAAATTCAAGGTCAACATCTACACAAAAAAGCAGTAATCAGCTAAAAAGCTAAATTCTCACACCCCTGGTAACATTAAAGTGTTTCATTTGCAGTCTGTCCATATTCCCTAGGCTAAGACTACATTTCAGGATCCCTTTCCTATCAATTTCACTGGGGTTTCAACTCTCTGCAGACCATACCCACAAACCACATCCCCCTCCATGCCCTAAAAGTGTAGTGTCTTCCCATCACTTCCCACCATGGGAGAGTAATGCGAATTCACTGACCCTTCCCCCAACCACATCCACCAAATACTCACTGTCAGCACAAGTTTCTGCAAGGGCATCTCCCACAATACAACTCTTTCGAAGTCAGCACACTGCAGTAAAAACTCAAGTGGCCACGCCCACCACACCCTTGTGAGACACCTACCTGTCCTTGGGGCCATCATCATGTAGCCTTCATCCCCTTGGTTGGGCGGGACCGTCATCAATCGCCCGCTGATGCTGGCAGACCTCTGGGCCAGTTGGGGCGGGGCTTGGGTGGGTTGGTTATAATGAGACGACCCCCGTGATCCCCTGCTCATTGGGTTCATGGACATGTACGACTGGTCCTCATCTGTTGGTGCTGCTGGTGGAATGTCAAGGGTTGAAGGTCATTGGCATCACTTGGCGACTTCGGGTTAAACTTCACAGTTGTTACCCTCAAAACTTTATTTAGGAGTAGACGTTTGGCAAAAACTTGAAACCAACACATTTTATCACAAAGATATTTCAGGCTTGAAAAGAGCAAACAGTGCGGGGTTTTGTGCAAAGAATGAAACAAATACACAAAAATACAGATTAAAACGAACAAAAACAATATATTTGAACAAAAAGGGCACAATCCCCAAAATGAAAGAAGTTCACTACAAATAATTACTTCTACATGTAATGGCATGCAATTTGGCAAAACTTTTTCCCCGCAAAGAGAAAAGCATCTTTAAAAGAAATGCCATGGTATAAAATTATGTACAATTCATGCAAATGTGGAAGGCATCGAACAGCCTAAAACAGTGCATACAGAATGGCAAACTGACGTGAAAAGGTCTGGGGTGATCGAGGTGGTGAAATATTTCTCTCAGACGGTGATGGGGGTGGTGGTGGTGAAATGGTGATGTGAACTGGCCGCAACGTGATGTAGCCGTGGTCAGGGGATGGAGCCCGCCCTCCGATGTTTGTTGTGTGATGGTGTGAGGGCTGACAGGTGAATATGGGAGTGGTCAGGATAGCTGTATTAAGGGGACGAACGAGATCAACAAAGACGGGCATGCCAGTAAAACAGCACACACACAGAAACACGCGCATACATGTACGTTACAGACCAACTATGGACATTGTTTGTTGTCTTCAGAAAACTTGGTAAAAATACTCATTTTTCTAGAACTGGAAACAAGATTTTCAGCTGGAGTTTGGTAAACTGTTTCCTAACCCCACAATGCCTCCAAACTTCTTTTTCAGAGAAGGGGGAACATCCTGTGGACATGCATAAATCCACAGACCGTTTTCCCTTCCTGCATCATGTGGACATCATTTGTGCACAAGTCCACACTAGGTATATGTATGTACGGTTAGCACAACACAACGGTTTCTAGCTTCAAACCAAGACAAGGTTACGTAACTCCTGTCTTTTGGAACATACATCTTTACCAAACACAATGATCTCACACCAACTTGTCTGGAAGTGGTGCACACTGTATACTGAATATCAACCTGAGAGAATTTTAAACAGATGCTTTGAGTAGCTACATGATGTTGCTGCAGGTTGTTGAAGGTGTAATTTCAAAAGTGCTTAAAACGGCCCTGACACCACAGACAGTTTTGCTTAGGAACCTTCATAAATCTTTCCAAATTCTCTACTGAGAAGGAAACCAATGGCACACTTTTTGTTCCATGAACATTCAAAGGTCAAAAGTGGAGTCAGGTTGGCGTAGTGGTTCTTTCCTCACCTTCCACCTCTGCGGTCCAGGTTAGAATCCACATGTGGATTGAGTTTTCAGTCCCTACCTGATTTCGTGGGTTTTACCCAGAATATTCCTCTGGGGTTTTCCTCCCATCTCTAAAACTCTAACTGCCTCTCATTATTTCTTCTCAACAGGTTTTTTTAAGCTTGCAAGCTACAGTGCCTCGGGCACTTTTGAGGAATCCTTGGTGTCATTACCGGATAAAAAAAATAACAATAATAGCCCCACGTCATTTAGGATTGGCTGGGGATACCCTGTTCCATCTTTGACAGGCATTAGAGGGCTAGTTTGCTGACAATACATGCATCGATAAATTGTAGCTGAATCTATGCCATGTCAAAAGGCACACTCGGTTTGGGATTTAACGAAATTCTTCATTTTCAAGCAAACTTGAATCCTGCCTGCTGACCGGCAGAGCTGTATTCGAGACCGTCACTAGTCCAGTGCCAAGTCCTTCCAGAAGTCCACTTACAAGTAGCAGAATGAAAGATGACAAAAGAATGCCTTCTACTGCCACAGTGTAACTGAATAAATTTTGACTAGGGTCAAGACCGGATAATTCATGAGGGACTTGACAACAGCCTTACTGATAGGTCATTCTGACAGCAACAATAGTGTGATGTTATCCTATACAGTGTGGTCTAATATGTTCCACACTCTCTAAAAGATCTACGTCTTTCAATGATACATACTATTAGTTATCACACAAGCGGTATACAGGACACAGACGCACTACATTATTCTGTGTTCTGCGGGCACGAGCGTGATAACAAATTTATCTTCAAGCAAACTTGACGCACAGGAAAGATGCTATAGGGGCCTATGCATGCAAACGTGCTATCTTTAAATTTCAAGTAATTTTGCATTTGTGCGTTTTGCTTTTAGCATGAAAATAAAGCACTATGTCGAGTTAGAACAGAGCATTATGCAGGGTTTGATATGAACCGTGCAATACAGTTATATATCACACTGTTTGTTGCCATGGATTGACCAATCAGAATTGAGAATTTCACGTTTGCCTGAAGATAAAGACTAATCTGATAAGATGCCATCATTGCCGTTGCACCGCATCCACGCGCACGCATTATTTAGCTTGACACGCACATGCACTTGGCAAATTACGACACCCCATAGGACAAAGAGGCATGTAACACGTGCATAGCACCTGTCCACGCGCGTTGAGCCACCACAGTAATGGTTTCTTATTCTGCTTGTCAAATTACACTGTTTGTGTGCTAGCACCAGTGAAGCAAATGCATCCAAAGAGATAAATGCTGTTCCGAGAAAAAAGTTTGCTTGAATAAAAAGTTGCTACATGCATGGAACACAATGGTACAAGGGGCTGCAGCTGACAAACCAATTGTGTGCTCGCAAGATACTCGGTGTACGTTGACCAAGACTACATTATGTCTGATAGTCTTGGCTCGGCAAACATTAGCACATGTGTCTATGGTGCTACGGCCACTACCAAAGGCTCACACACGCGCGCGCACTCCTGTGCACCACACCCAAAACATTTCAGATACAGGCTCTCGAGGAATAACATCAAAGTTATAGTGAAGGTAAACTAGCCATGCAAACATGCAATGATGGAAGATGGTATCTAAAAAGTAGCATGCAACGCTCAAGCAAATTCATGAAATATTTTGGCAATGTGCTGGTGTCAAGAGAACATGTCCCTATTTAAAATTTAAACTCAACCCTTCACGGCAAACAATTCCCCTAAGGCCCAATGTCAACAAATGGCTCCACAGACACTGCTGTGAAGCAATAACAGGCCATGTACCAGTCACAACCAGTATATCTCAATTGCCACTTAAGCTGGTAACCAAAGGAACCTGCTCAATGCAGAAATTTGCTAATCACAGAAAGTGATTGCCCAACGTAATGAAGGATACCAGGGAAACTGCTATGCTAAAACTGCATAAGTGGCTTTCACTCCACAAACTCATCCAACGTTTTGAAAAGGCTGGACGGCATAATGCTGCCTCAAACTATACCGGTATAAACCCAAAAGATGCAAACCTGAAAGTGTACATGTACCTTTGGTGGCTCCAGAAGGAGCCATATTCATGTATTCATCGGTAAACTCCAAGCTCTCCTCTCTGATCGGAGTGCGGGTTGGTGAGTCAGGCGTCCGGCTACGTCCAGATCCCGAAAACCTAAAAACCAGGAGGAAAAATTGGAAAATCCACAGGAATTAAAAACAAGGAACATACATGACTGTATTCTGTCTAGCAGTTGCAAAAATGGTTACAATAAGTCACGTCTGCTGGCTGTAACATCAGAAATCCTAGCAGATGGGTGACCACAAACTAGTCTCCACTAAAGGCCATCACGATACAGTGGAATGAATGAGAAGTCCATGTGAGCACCATGAACTAAGACTACAGTATTTGGGAGTTGTGGAAAAACATGAGATAAAACTTGTGAACCAGTCACTGCACTGTACCTTCTGGGGGTACGATAAAAGCCACCTTCAATCTGCACAACTCTGTACAAGTCCATAGCCGGCTTGAAAAAAACATAAACGCCTACTCATAATCACACTACTGCCCAGCCCACAGCATACCTGATGACCTACAGAGGGCGCTCTGTTGCCTCACAGTAATGTCCTGCAAAGCCAACACAGCACTTGGTACACCGGTTCATGTTTGTGTGGTGTGGGCTGCACACCATTTACTTTCATCTTGATGAGTACAATCTCAGACAATCAGATGGACATTACTCACAGGGTTTTCATCTGGGAAACAGGGCTTCCAAGTCTTGGCCCTGCCTTTTCCTTTGGCACCATGGGATACAGCACATCTGTGCACAGTCTCCACACAGTCTATTAATAAATTTGGTTAGTTTGCAGGGTTGGGACAAAACGCTGGTCCAGTGGCCAAATGCCAGTCAAAACATCTGCGGACCAGTCAAACCCTTCACAAAGTGGTCTGGCAGACCAGTCAAAATAATGGGGGATGCGACGACCATACCAAGGTTTTCACGTCCTCTTTTATTTCCGACATCAAACGCGTGCAAAAATACAGCAGTGGAGCGCCATATGCACGCAATTGAATGTTTTGTACAAAATACGAGCATACAGTGTATACAAATCAGTGCGGGCATTTTGTAGCGCGATTTGAAGCACAAGTTTTGTCTGTAAACAGCATTCTGGAACCATCCAGTCGTTGTGCTGTGATTGGCTGCCAATGAAACATCAATATGCATATACATTATGTGTAAGTGGGACTCGTTTGACTGTTCCTGTGTGAACGGAAGGAGTGACTAACAATCTACACTGTAACTCATGGTAATGCACATTGCACTGTAAATTTGCAGCTTGAAATAAAGTGAATTTTTACTTTTGCAGATAGAGGACTTTGATGACAACTGGCGCAGGGCAAAGTGCTTGTGTCATGCATTATCGCGCGGTTTTTACATGCTCTATAGGCATTGTTTTGTACAAGATTTCAAACAATTTTTGGACATAAACTTATCAAAATGTGGGTGCAACACGAATACATACTTGCCCAACGAGGCTCTGACTTCTATTCAATTTTTAACAAGACTGATCAAAAAGCTCCAGAAATAGATGTTGGCCTTGATGGAATACACCATAAATGGGCAGGCGACAAAGTTACCTGCGCTGGGTAAATCCAAAAGCCCGGACATGCAATGTGCTTTCTTTGGAACAAAGAATTGAAAGTTTGAGAAACGTGGTCGAATCAGGTGGGAAAAGGGCCAATTCACTCTACAAACCTTAATATTTACAATTTTGGTATTCACTTTAACCTTCAGGAAGTTTGGGGTGACTACGGAGAAAAATCTAAATTGAAAATGTACATAAATTGCAAGATAAAAATGACCAATGGTGCCACCAAGAGACTGTAACATGCACCACAAAACGTCTACAAACAAATTGTTCCCGGCGCCCTAAAGCAGACCCGGACCTCACGCCATACATGTACATGTACATGTAAATGCTTCGCACTTCCACTTTCAGTCATGTTTCAGCTGTTTTTTAATCCTCCCCTCACACCCCTTGTACATGTACCTTGAGGAATCTCAGACTTTGGTGAGGGCAGTGTAAAAAATTTAAAAAAAAAAATAGCGAACCAGTCAAAACCTTGGCGGGCCAGTCAAGATGTGGCTCTACTAGTCGGGTTGGCTAGTAGTAAAAATTGTCAGTTGAGCACACTGAAACATGGGCTGCAGTCAAGACTCAACTTGCAACTTCATTGTACCAAAACCTCTTTAGAAACCAGGGCCCAATGTCAGTGCGCTGCTAGGCACATGATTTTACATTCTCCATATTTCATGGAGACTGAAAGCAGTATAAAGCAGACCAAAAGGCACACTTATCACAAAGGAATATTTGCTCAACTATAGGATGCAACAATTGGAATCTCCACACACATTAACCCCAACCCTCCATTGTGCTTTGGCTGGAAACCCTGCCAGACACACATGTCTGCATCATTTGTCACAAGTTGCTTGCCTGCCCAGTGTCACAAGATCCAACAGGACCACTCTCCCCAGGGCCAAATACAGTCATTTTCCCAGTTCCTTATTCAGTCAGACTGCAGATACAAAAACTCCTCAAATTCCAAACAAATGTGGTCAGTAGTGAGCCTTGTGGGTTGAAGATACTATTAAATTATTTTCAAAATCTTAACTTTTAATTTGGACTTACAAGATGGACGAAAGTGATGAGGACATGTTTCCTAGTTCTGGATTGGTTTAACCAGTTCCGGATCGTGACAAAAACTTATTCACTAATAAAAAGTAAGCACGCAAGTAATCCACTTAGCAGTCAGAACCATTATAACATGCTGATTTTCTAATGAAATATTTCCTAAATTAGAGAAAATTATTTCATAAATAAGAATTCCAATGAAATTTAAAAGTAGAACCAGTGTAAATTTGGCTTGACTTTTTCAGCTGTGCAGTGAGCTATCAATGATACTGGTATTACCCAAGGTATCCTTCACGTCGCACAGTTGACGAACCCATTACATCATAACATTGCTCCTACGTCAGTGTAGTTGAGTTTACAATGTATTTGCATGCAAATAATGCGCAATCTGAAACTAGGAAATAATAAGCGTTCACTTATTGGCCAATTTTAAACGAACAGAAAAAATGCAAGTCATTTTGATTAAACAGACATTAGATGCTACAGTTTATTTGACTGTCGAGTATGAGAAATGTATTTGGAATCACACATAGTGCGTGACCCGTCGCCCTGTACAATGATTTTTTTGGCTCCCTTGATTTTTGAGAAACCGCTACAAAGTGTCGAAGTGCGAAACCGAAATCTGGCCAAAATTTCTTTTCCAGAATTTTTTGAAGAACAAATTTTACACAAGAAAAAGCCTACATTTCACCTTTCAAGCAAAATTTGTCTTGGAATGTAGAACTGAAGAACAACACAAAGAGGTCGATTTTTATTTCAAGCGATCCGGAACCGGGAAAAATCAGGAACTAGGAAAACAACTGTATCCTGAGTCTGTGGTTGCCAGTCACCACAAGATCCAACGGTGGCATTGTTCAATACATGGACTACCTCCCTTTGTCTCAACAAGGCCAGTTTCTTCGGCTGCTGTTGATTGCCTCGTGCAACAAAATGCATCAGACTGTTCCCCCTACGTTTGTGCTACGTTTGGCAGGGTTAGGGTTAAACCACTCGCACAACCACACAGTGAAATAAGGCTTACATATGGCCAATTTCGCTGATAGCCATTCCCACAGTGCCATGACATTGGGCCCCAAATCAAGTTGATGCTGTATCAGCCCAACCAGAGCCTCTGTTTCCCCATTTCAGACTTGCCAGGACTCTGCGTCTCTTTTTCTTAGTACTTCTGGATACTCGGGCCAAGACCCGAAGCTCAACATGTGCTCCAGATGGCTTGACCAGCTAACAACACAGCTCTTCCTGCAGGAGTGGTTCTCCCTACTTTTGTATCTGTCTCTAACACCAGCCAGAATAGATTCTCGCTATGAGCATCATTCTTAGGGCCTCAATACTAGCAACGTTAATAATTCTACATCTGCATTTAAAAAAACTATAGGGTTATTGAATAGCTGAGAGGGATAGAGCTCTCTCTGGCAGCAAATCTACATGCATTTCAGTGGTTGTGGGCTTCGGTCCAACTTTGCTTTTCTACAGTTCTCCATAACGTTCTAGACATAAGTGTTAAGGTTCAATTTTTCACAAATCATCAAAATTCATCTGGTTCAAATTCAAGTCCCAAGCTACGTGTACATGTACCCAAACAAATCTGGAAAAAGAATTTTGTTGTCATCTTTCAAAATCAGTCTCCTATACGATTTGTGGACAGACTTGTGACGGACTCCTGCAAGTGCTACCACATACAAACGTTGCCAAAATTTCCTGCAAGAAGTTCCTTAGAAATCTGTTCATTTATTGAAAATACTGGTATAAGTTAGAGTGTATTTTCATCCGTGCCGGATGTTGTGATGGAAGCTGCGGTGAATGTTCTGTTGACAGATATACTGCAAGTTGTAAGTGGAATTGTACTGGATGTTATAAAGGACGCTGTGCCAGATGTTGTCAAGAAGATGTACCCAAAGTTGTGATGGAAGTTGTACGAGAAGTTGTAGCAGAAGTCATTCAGGAACCTGTATTGAAAGTTGCCACTCCAGTCTCCCTGGGGCTTACCGTGCAATGAGGTGGTCACTGGGACTGGTTCCGAAGCTAGGGTACTCATCAGAGAGATTGGGGTCAGAGGCATGCAGGGGCTGGGGATAAGAAGGATAACGATCGTCGCTAACACCAAGAGGGCTTTCGCTGCGGCAAAATAAAATGAGAGAGAGAGACAAGATATATCACAACCATCACGCACTGGTGCAAGGGAGAACAGGTGGAAGCAGTACCCATAGCAACTGGGAGGAACACTTTTGCGGGGATAAGGCACAAGGGAGAGTATCCATCCATGCTTTTCAGAGAAATTGCGACAGAGAAGAAGGTACTAGGGAACAGTGCGAAAGTAAGAAAGGTTTTCCAAGGCCCTCCTATTCCACCCTAAGAAATCCCTGGTTTGTAAGTGCGCACATGGCAATGAACAAGTTCCACCGGAGGGCTGTTTATGAGAACTGGAGAATGTAAGGCAGTGTCAGTGTAAAGGAAATAAGAGGGCTTGGAACAAGAAAGATAAGCGGAAAAAAAACAATGGACTTATTGAAATGCAAACAATATTCTCCAGCAACATAAAACGAATATAAGATACCCATACCATTGTCCTAGGAAACAAGATCCATTTCTACTTATTTCTTTACATTTTAACAATGAAGCATTCAAAAAGTGATGAAGTTGACATGGCTTTAAGCCTTTCGGTATATGTACACTTTTAAAGTCTCACTAATTTTAGACTTTTGTTAAGTTGGGGCCATCTCAAATTTCACAGACAAAAATGCAGTCCTTTCGGAGGGAGGCAATATAAACACTAGCAGCTTGTACCGTAATATGGGGTATTTTCTCCAACACGGTGTATTCAGGGTGCCAGACCAATTAAATAGCTGTTTAGTTCGTTAGTCATTTTTTTTTTGGTTCTTTTTTTTTTTTTTTTTGGTTTACCTCAGAGGACTGTTTGGTATGGGTGGTGAGTTGGAAATGGGCTGCACAACACGATGCATGCTGGCCGGTCGTAGGCTGCCGGAACCAGTCCGCTGTGGCATGGTAAAGCGCCCTCTGGCCTTGGTGGGACTGGGGGATAGAAAGTCACCAAGTGAGTTCAAATGAAGTCAGCAATGCGCTTCTTGTGCCGGCTCTGACATCTGACATTGTTTCCCTCAATACCAACAGCTCAGACATGCAATAATGTGTATTGGTATTTGCAAACCTCTTTTCACGCTAGCTTTCACTACGAGAGATTCAAGGCTCTCCAAATGAGCATGCTTTTAACTGACAGGCAATAATAATCCCAAGGGGTGAAAAAGTGTCAGTATTGTCAAAAACAAGAAGTCAGAAAAGATCTTCAACTATTGAGTGTGATATGGAGGTACATGTGCACATACACAATGGCACAATATAATGTTTCAAGATTAGATTCATTCCACAAGCCTCTTTATGTAAGGATGTGTCTGTTAGACATGTATGTGTTAGTCACTAGACTGCACGCAGTTTTACTCTAACGTCAATCAATCAGTCACTCACTCAATTAAGTAAGTAATTAGTTCCAGTATATGATGCATGTGCAGTGTATTAACAAAATTAAATGACCCAAGTGAGGAAGTTTTACATGTACATTCTGTGATTGTATTAGTCTTTTAATGTCCTGGCTACATGTATTTCTGGCTAATAGAAATCTTCCTCAATGCACCTGAATCCGACACTGTACGGTATAACACTGAAAATGGCTTGGCCTAAAACTTCGGAAGAATGAAGACAGGTACCTTGTTTTTGCAGTCCTACAATCTGTAAAATATGAGCAGAACTGGGGTTGGGCCCCACTCTGGCATTTCACTGATGTTTGTAAATGAATTTCCACTGTGTATGCACAATAAAAGGTCTGAACTATTTGCAATGCACTTTTCCTGAGTGGGACACACCCAGGTATGGCATATTGCTGTCACAGAACTCATTTGCAGAGGTTGAACCCATCACTCAATCCAAGTGTTCCACGTGTATTAATTACATGTAGAAGCTTGTTTCACCTTGGTCAAGTTGTCACACATATTGTCCAATGACAGAGCTTCACAATCAGCCTGTGCTGGAGCTGTTTATTTCCCACTGACTGGGTGCAGGAAAGCTAATTCAACCCTTTTGTTTGACCTCTGTTGGCTGCTGGTGTGATATGGGACACGTTCTTGACACTTGAAGGATGCATTTGGTAGCATCTGTGAAGAAGCCCAGGTTGTCATGAATCCTCACGCAAGCTCAGTAATTGATTGTGTCTGCTCCGTCGATCATAAGGTCCGCGATTCAAACCCAGGTTTTAGACGGTACCACTTTTGAGTTAAGTTTTTCAACAGAAACAGTGACTGATGACTACAGAGAACCACTGACACTACTGACAGACATACACAGATAACTTCTAGCACAGACAGTCAGTCAGTCACCGACAGAGTTAACCCCAAATAATTAAGCACACACATTCACGCTCACTGACTGACATTTAAAAAACAGAATCCATGACAAAAATGATATGGCAAATCTCAGAGAGTCACTGACAGTCAGAAGAAACCACAGACGGTTCATCACTGACAGTTATCACAGAGTCACTGATAGCAAAATCACAGACAGTCAAGGATAAACAGAGACAGTCACAGATCTTGAGGAAAATTATGGGTGGCTACTGACAGACATAACATGAGGCAGTCGTTATCAGTCATTTGTTATTTCAGACTGTCAATGTTTATCAACAAAGTTAGTTCCTGCAACGCAGACATTATCCCAATTTCATGCAAAAAATCTTCAATCTTCAGTGCTAATCTGCTATGCTAAACAAACACCAGTCTATTACCTGCAACCTACGCAGATTATCAAAACATAGGCATTATTCCCTAGTCAATTACTTCCATTCACTAATCTGGTAGGTATGCAGTAGTAGACTCGTCCCACTCTAGGTGAGGGGAGAAATCATGAGAAAACTAAATACTGTTTACAAGTAAAAATGGGTTCAAGTCACAGCATCCAACGACAGATGGTTACATGCACAGATGAGACACCTGGATGACACTAAATTGCATGCACTACCATGTGGTTGGCTCAAGACACTATTCCTAATTAATTAGACAAGTTAGGGTCAACCAACTTTGCCATTGTTACCTTTCGGGTGTACGCCCACTGCGAAAATGTGATTCTCCTTCACTGGCCGTCCGAGGGCGTGTTTTCATACCATACTTATGCAAGCTGTGAAAATTACCGGGGGGGGGGAGAGTTTGAGGAGTGGAAGAAAACGTTGAACAGTGAAAAAAACAAGTCAAAACTGTATTCAAGAACAGGTTTTACTTTGAGCAAGTAGTCAAGAGTGACTTTAGTAAAAGGATACGGTGTAAAATACATGTACATTTTGAGTACAGATTAGGAGACATACTGCAAAACACATTGTGTAAACTTCAGCAGGGACAACACAAGATGGCAATTTATACATCATGTTTGCAGAATGAACCCAAAAAGAAAGGCTTAGGAATGCAAATAGGAAAGAAATAATTGGGAAGGAAATCTATCTGTAATTTTCAGCTAGTTATGCCATGCAAGGAGTAGAACGGAAAATGGAAAAGGTGACAATGAAAGGGCAAGCACAATGGCAAAATCTTGAAGGCATGAGTCAAGTCTGTCAGTAGTAACATGCAAAGCCGAGAAGACAGACCAGACTTTTTATCAGGCATACGTGTACACTGTACATGTACACCTGTTGTCAATGGAGATCTGAAGGAACTTCCCCAAAGGACAGAGACAATTACACATGTAAATGTGAAGGAAACAAGAACAAAATCAAAGGCTCCCGTTTTTTGTTATAGGTCCATTTGGAATCTTCCCACTTCCAATATGGGAAAACAAAAGTACGGTAGGGCAAGAACGCATTATTCTTCAAAGTAATACATAAATGTAAAATGTATTTAACAGCTATGAAAAATTAGTCCTTTTTTTTCCCAATAAATCTCTAATAAAAGGTGGGCGTGCAAGAAAAGTTAAAGAAAATCAGATTTCAGACTTGGTTTAGCTGTACACTCCTTTCCTTTCTTTGTCCATGATGAGAAGGAAAAGTGCACATAACAACAAAGAGACTGGACTGTAAAAATTCTTCCGTGCCATATTGTTTTGATTTCAATCAAAGATATCCACTGCACTTCTGGCCGTGGAATCAACATTGATAAGATGCATTTCCATTATTCACTAAATTAAAGTTACTTATTGAAAATTTATACATCTATCTTATAAACCATTTTTACTTTGTAGATTTCTCAAGCAACGTTGCAATACAACTGGTCCCAAATTTCAATTCCCAGTACAACATACGTGTATCTCGGCATGCACAAACAGGAGTTTTCAGCTCAGGCCTAGGAGTCTTCCGTTACAAAAGCTGCCCCAAATCAGTTTCATAACCATGGCACAGAAGTCCTACAGGCAACATTGGAGAAACGTGCAGGTAAAATGTCAATGCATTCATTCAATTATAGGAACCTACCCACAGAATCAAGGGGGATTGTGGATATAAGGAAACCAAGACCAATGCTGCGTCAATGGCAAATAAGAAGTAGTCCAACTCAAATCCTCATTTAGCATGTTACGGTAGCTATCAGTTCCTCCTTCATTTATTTCACGAAAACAACTTTGCGTATAATTTGTCTCACATCCTTGAGAAGACAAAAACAACTCCGGGCATTGCATCCAATTCCAAGACTTACTATGCTGTTTCCTGACCCTACGGCGCTTGGATAAGTTTTTGGAAAAAAAAAAAATTTAATACGAAACTGGAGTTTCTGAGTGACTGCTGCAACGGGAAATTGTATCGCTCACTGCCGCAGAGCACGAATTGTGTCGATATATATGAAATTTTCAGGCTCAGATATTGTGCCATTTTCAATTGCATTCAGAGATATCAATCAAGAGAAAGCTTGCTTTATTAAAAGGAGTAGAGGGCAAAACTTTCCAAATAGTAACATCTAATTTTCACTGTTTAAAAAAAATAAATCCATATATTTAGGCAAGAAAAGAGGGCAAAAGTATGATGGGTACAGAAATAAACCAGGGTTTTAAATTCAAGGGCAAATCAACTTAAATGTACATGCAGTTCCTACAGCTCACTCTAATTCCTTTAGAACTACATGTGACGTGGAAAATCTGTAACTGACCCAAAAAAGAAGCAAAACTGGTGATCTTCATGAAAGCCACGCATTACATGCTTGGCACAACAGAATCCCCAGAGAGCCATGTCTAATTTCCTCAATTTGGTCGTAACAACTAGCCAAGAGTGCACATCCCTCATGTTGTGATGAATGCTTCAGTTGAAGGGGGGACACTGAAAGAGTTAATGGTCCGAGGGCCCCAACTTGCCTCCAAATTGGATGAGCTGCAAAGTTGTCTGAGCGCAACCGAGCCAGAGTGCTGTTTGCACACAGCAAATATAACAAGATTTTGGCTCTAACGGGGAACTGTGCATATTTACCAGGGTCTAGACCCCTTTCCAAACACACGTATTCAATGTCGACAGGTCTGCAAGGCACCAGAGCCCTGTGCCATTCAAACAATGATTTACATGCACAATGTAATGGTTGTCATTTACACATAGAATACTGTGCATCAGTTGGTTTATACATACATGTACCGGTACATGTAACTTCCATCTATTTGGTCTGGCAGTCTTTCAGTTGATTTAATTAGGAGTATCACTCCTAAAGAGCCAATGAGAACAACGTTAGAAATCTTCACATGGTACGATCTTATAATCAGACTTTATTTGAAATTAAATCCACAGCTCCAATGAATGTTCCTCCAATATTTCATGTACCAAATTTCATGCCACCAAGGTCAACTTCAACCAAGCTACTTTAAATGAATGCCAACGAGAAATTTAATCATCTTAACTGCTCTGTTATGCAAATGTAATCAAGACAAAGCGTACAATCATAACCGAAAGACATTAAAACAGACAGACCAACCTTGCAGTGCAATTATGGCTCTGATGGATGTTATCGTACCGTACTTGTATATGCCCGGCGGGAACAATTTTTGCCCAAATCTCTTGATGTCCATTTTTCAGTTGAGTTCTGATTCAGTTGCTCAAGTTTCAAGGCTTTGTGAAATGATCTTTTCACGACCTAAAATACAGTGTTGCTGTACATGAATGGCACTCCATTAAATTCAATAAATGCCAGTGCTTTCAGCTTTGCCATTCAAACAGAATTTCACAGAACCTTTGCCTAATTTTTATGCTAATTTCATTTGTATATTCATGAGTAAAACAATGATATTTTAGGTAGAAACTTTAGTGTTCAACATTTACCAATTATGTTTTCTGTCCAAATTTAAATATCCTTCCCAATCTGGTTCATAAGTGTGACGTCACTTCAGTTTAAACCATGCCCACTGCCCATTGAGTTACATGGAACCATGGAATCGAAAATTAATGCGCAACTTGAGTGTTCGTCCAATCGGAGCCTTAGTGCGTATTCAGATTCAGATTACTTAAAAAATACTGATGTACAAATCAAAATATGGAAAGAAATTGAACAAAGGAAATCATAAAAAGGATATCAAACACAGCCGCAGCGACAACCTCATTTTGGGTTTTTCACTACTACAAATTCAGAACTCATCGACTCAAACAACACTGCGCTCCAGCAAACGTACTTGAAAAATTACCCATGAACACTTAATTGCTTCCAATCCATCACAGCACAGGAAAGACAAGTCTTCACTTCCCTTTAAGTGGCATTTTATTGCTGCTGCCTTATAATTTAACGAGAGCACTATTTCTTGATTTCCCTAAGCACTGTTTTCCTCCCCAGCAAAGCAATTAGACTCCCTCTGCAGGACATGAACACTTATTACCATTCCGACGAACCTATCAATGTCAGATCTGGGGATCTGATCTCTCCACACTCCCCGTCTGTTCAGTTTTCAACCATTTCCTTTTTTTTTGGAAGCTCCCCGTCTGAGGCCCATCGATTAGGTCTGGCAGGATTGATTTGCCGCGTGGATCCCATGTTTGTTTTCAATCTACCGTCTGTGGGCCCCAATGACTACCCATCCACTCTGTTTCCAACGATCTCTGAAAATTCCATATTTTCTTCCCTTTCCATATCTCAAAAAAATTAAGGGAAAAAATGCAAGCCTCACGACAACCAGGCAGTCTTCGGTCTCAGGATTGATCTTGCCTTTTAGTCGAATGTTTGCATTTATGGCGACCGTCAGGTGCAGACCGCTCAACTTTGTCATGGTTTTTTCAGAAGACTACACATGAGCAGGAATCATGATTCTCATACCCATAGTTAAGTATGTGCATTAGCCATGAAAAGACATGATCACCCTTGTGCCGAACTAAACACACTGTACATCTCTACTTTCAATCAAACTTTAACTAGATTCAGAAGGTACCGCTGGGCATTTAGAAGCATTTGGCATTGAAATAAACTTCCCCCCCCTCATGTCTGTCACTTTTAATGCAGGAAGGTAAACAAAGACGCAAATGGAAGATTCTCTAAAGGGCTACAAAGTGATTAATTACACCCCAATGAAAAGGCAAGAGGCTGGGATATGTGCTTTGCAGTCAGCCCTTCGGGATACTCACGACATTTGCAGGGCAGATTTGTCTGAATAATTCAACAACAGTGGCAGCGTTGGGTTCTTTCACAAGAGGGAAAACAAAACAGGCATTTGACCAAGCTGAGGAGAGAATTGATTTTCAAACAAAATAACCCCAAATTTCTGACAGGACAAGAGACCATAAATGGCTTTTTGTGGTTACAGTTTTCCAAGTGTTCGTGTATGTACACAATGGCATGGGGAACATTTGATGTAGTTACTGTTAAAATGGCTTTCCAGTGAGACAATCTGATCAGTAATGTAAGGCCACCCTTAATGAAAAAATCCCATAAAATTACTTTTCAAGGCCTTCATCTATTGATAATATGGGTACTTCTGATGCAAAATACATGTATGTTGACAAGGAACATTCAGCATTTCTAAACACAAAAAGGTAGAGCGCCATGTCAAGGGCACGAACCATTAAGGAAAGTGTTGCCATGGAAATGGGATATCTAATGCTCCCAGCAATAGAGTAAATATTTAAAAGTATAAGCGTGGGTGCATGTAGGATTGCAGCCAAAGAAGCAAACAACTGAAATTCAAAATGGCAAGACCTTGTGAATAGCACGCTCACACGTCCAGCAGATACATTAGATGTA